TTCTCCGCCGTCATCCGGCTACACACTGATGAACGTGGTTCGTTCTCTCTTATTCCGAACATGCGCCGCTCCTTTTGGAACTCTTAGCCATGTTGGCGGTACGTTTTCACTGTAGCTATTTACATCACAGTCCATACAAGTCTCTTCCTTAGCACCCCCGTCACAAACACGCAAGCTCGTCCAAAATACATCACACTCACAATTAACCGAAACAAAGATACATCGTACATATAAATACACACTTAATTATAATCACATACAACACAAAAAAAATTAACAATTACCGTGTGCGCCTCTTGGACCACATGCAGAGTTAAATCCCTTTCAGCACTGTGCAACTACCTCCTCCCCAGTGTCACCGCACCAAAACCATGCCAAACGTCAGTCATGTGACCCATTACGCTTTGCGTCAATTTACATAGAATTCTAAATTATTCAATAAACATAATTTAAATAAATTGTAAAGATCACAACAAATTTAGGTATCTCAATTTATAACAAAAATGAACTTTCAGAACACACTGTCATTGGGACAGTTACAATTACAGTGACTACAGTCTCACACCTCTAGGTCTGATTCTGGTTCATACTCTGTAAGTGCATGACCATCTATCTAACTGGAAAAGTGTTTTTTTTTTTAAGATAGATGGTCAGTGTTCCAAAGGCTATCCCCTTTTTCATTTATGCAATGGTTTAGTCCATTAGAGCAGCACATGTACAACGTAGCTCGGGTGAACTGCCCTGTTGCATTGTGCCTGGAGCTGATGTTTCCGAGATTGCCGAGATTACCACACCTATAGTCCAGCCTGTACATTGGAGTAATCCAGTAACTGAAAGATTGTAGAAAAGTGACAATTCTTCAATAAAGGATTTAAATCGGACCCTGTGATTCTGACAGATCACCTGTGGTGGGCTAATCTTTCCCACTCCAGCAACAGAAGTTAGGTTCACCTATTAAGAGACCAGTATACACAACCCTGCCTCCTTTTCAGTCAGATTCATAAAAGGTAATAGTGACTACATGGTATTTCTCAGTTGAAATCAGAAATACAAAACACTAGTACTTTGGTAATTTTACTTTTTACACCTGGACCACCAACATGAGACATTGATTGACAAACTGCACAAAAAGGAACTACACAGTGAAAAGATCAAACACAAACTACAGAAGGTAAGCAGAGCAGGGGTTTATCATACTGGGTGAACAAAAACCTACAGGAGTGGACTTACTGAGTCAGTCTGTAACTAATGTTAGAGTATCTAACCATTGAAAACTGCACTGATCTTCTCATGTCTACATGAGATAAGGACACCAGTGACTATGGAGGAGAAGGAAACTCAATGGCGTCTACAGAGATGTGCTGCAGCTCTCTGTTCATTGTGGTTTTTCAGTGGCATTTACACAGATAGACTCAGGTCATACAGGACATTCCAGTGAATTACCTGTTAATTTGGACACAGGATTCGATGCAGGTATCTGCTTTCCCTCCTGTGATGCCTGTTTGGCGCTGCAGCTGTACCTGTTGCCTTTGTCCCAGTCCACTTTTGAGACCCTAAACAGACTGGTGACAGAGTATTGATCCCCAGTCTTCAGTGGCTCTCCAGTAATACCCTCCTCATACTGCCCCCCATCTACTTGCCACATGATGTATATTTCCTCAGGATAGAAGCCTGTTACCAGGCAGAGCAGGAAGAATTCACTTTTTCTATCAAGGTCTTCAGGAGACGGTGTTTGGATGGAGACTGTAGGTGTCGTCGTACCTGAAATCAGTTGTTAAAAACATCTCGGTGAGTTTTCTTTGCATCTCTGAATTTCATCTTAAATAAAAATATTTCTATTTATGATTTTAACTGTGAAAGTGTATTGTGAAATATACCTTTTTTTCCAAAACTGAGGGTCTTTGTGGTAGTAGGACCACACTTCTGCTGCACACTGCACTTCACTGTTTTGCCACCTTCCCAGTTCTTTGCTGCCAGAGTCAGGATGCTGCTCTTTCTGAAGAGATGATCTGCCTTTTCTGGAGCGGTCTGTGTAATCTTATCTGTCACCTGTACACTGTACAACATCCAGGTCACTTCAGCTTCTTTTACTGCCTCATCCTCTCCTGAGATGATGCATTCCAGCACAGCCCTGTTATCTATGAACATCTCTTTTACTCTTGGGGGCTTCAGGGTCACATCCAAACAGGACCTACTGGACAGGACTGGGAGAGGAAGAGAGAGAGAAACAGAGGAACATATAAGATGAGCAGCAACAGGAACCATGGAGGCCAGTTTCAAGTTCTCAGTCATTCAGCCAGACTGATCTTCAGACACTATTCATATCAATCAGAACCAGCTTCAAATCTTGAACAAAGACATTCTAAAGGCACTTTATTGCCAGAATACAATGGAATCCAGGATGTTTTTAGCCAACATTAAGCCATTAATTACAGTGACTACAGTCTCACACCTCTAGGTGTGATTCCTGTTCACGCTCTGTACTGTAAGTGTGCAGTTGTCATGCTTTGCCCGTATCCACATGGGTTTCCACTGGTTACTCAGGTTTTCTCCCACAGTCAGACACATGAGGTTGGGTGTAGTGGTGTCTCTAAATAGCCCTCAGTGTATGTTAGTGTGTACTGACCCCCTGTGACCGGCCTGCATCCCACCCAGGCAGCTCCCTGTCATGTTCCCTCTACTTCCTATCATAGTCTCCAGGTTCACTGTAATCTTGCAATGGATAACTAGTCATGAAAGTTGAATAGATGGATGGATTGATGTCATATTTTTTACAAACATTGTATTTTAGTTAAAGCAGGTGAAGGAATAATTTAATGAACTGGACTAAAAATGAAAATGTTGGCTTCTTATTTATGAATGGGTCTGCTGATATTGTTGTGAGATCAGATGCTCTCTAACAGTATCTGTGTGCTGTGAGCTCACTCACCTTTACTAATGGTCTTAGTGGTTTTATTAGCACCGTGCTGCACCTCACATGTGTACACAGTGTCACTCTCCCAGACGCTGCTGTCCAGTTTCAGCAAACTGCTGGCTGAGTACAGTCCTGTCTGTCCTTTCTCCGACTCCCAGGTCTGTCCTGAGACAGTTCTGTCCCCAGCTTTCCATGTCACACTGACGCTCTTGGGGTGGAAGTCCTGAATGACACACATTAGAGCATCTACACGGCTCTCCCCGATGGGCAGAGTCACGAGACTCACAGTTGGGGATGTTGGTGGAACTAAAAGGACAGAAAGACAAAAAAGGCAAAAGATGTCAGTGACACTTCATATTTCAGTTATGATTCACTGCAAAGATGAAGCTCCACAGGAAATCAGATAATCTCAGTCTGAACACACAGACATGTGCTGGCAGCAGTGTTACATGGTGTCATGTCTTGTCTCCCTCAGTCCTGTCTTGCACCTGTTTGGCCAGCAGAGGTCTCCCCTGCTGACCATCCCGTATCCCAGTCAGTCACACCTGCCCCTCATGTAGCCCCTGTTGACTGTACTTATCACCTTCACCAGTGTCTGATCGTCTCTTGTCCATTGTGGTGACAAACACCTGTTTATTCCCGGTGTATAAATGAGCCCCTCCTCTCTGTGCTCCGCACTCCGGTCACTGTTACCTTGTCGCCCATCCTCACTCCCTATGGGTCCTTGTAGAGATCCTTTACCTTTTGAAATTACTCTAATAACGTCCCCTTCCGGGTCACCCAGCCACTGCCTGTGGGATTTCTTTGTGCCTCCTTGCGCTTCGGAATGTGACACCTGGCTTCTTTACTCTCCCAGTTAGCTGTGGTTTAAGGGATTGGTGTCGTGCAGCACATTCATAATGAGCTTGTCCACCCCAGTCTGCCGCATTGACGCGGATCTCACTGACCACCATGTTGACTCCATTGTCATTGACCGCTGAGTACTGATAAACGTCAGACAGCTGGTTACCGCTGCTGCTCTGCCAGCTAAAGCTCACAGAATCCACTGGTGAGAAGCCGCCTGCGACACAGCCCAGGCTGATAAGACCTGCAGAGCCGCTGGGATTACATGGCTGCAGAGCATAGAGGAAGTCTGGTCCTTTGGGGGAATCTACAGCAGAACAATATAAGTCATCAGAACAAGACTCAATGGTGGCCAAAAAGACTAAGCACATTTACCACAATGTAAATTAGAATAACTCTTTTGCTCAATAAGTCATTCCACAATTTATGCTTTTTTATGTGATTGTGCTGAGAAACTTAAACCTAAATATTAATGTAATTAAAATTTAATTTAACCCTATCATGAACATGTTTCTGCAATCACTCAACTGTAAAATATTTAATCAGATTTATTGAAGTTTTGCTGTTTTTGAAATGTTTAGTATCTATCTATCTATCTATCTATCATCTCCTTTATTCTTTATAACTAACAGGGAACAGGAAAATGTGGTAGCCAGACAACAGGATTGGATGTTTATCACTGTACAGTAATTGTTTCCCTGTATTTCTCTTGGCTAAATTGCTAAAGACAGAGAGAAGGACAGCATCCATTCAAAAACTACATTTTTTAATCACATAATGTACAAATTAAAATAGATACTGTGAAGTAATTGTTTATTAAGCTCATGAAAATAGTAATGCTAAAAAATATTAAGGCTAAAAGTAAAAATAATAACTGTTTAAAATTAATTTAAATTTAATTCATTTAAAATGTGTTTTGAATTACTCTCATCACCCTTCAGATACATAGAAACTACATTTCAGCAGGTGTAATCAAACCCAAGTATATGCTGTATCTTTCCAGTATGTTTCAGTATGAAAACATTTATTGATTCCCTTAAGCTTAGCAATTTTGTATTGTCACTGGTTATGATCACTTAATCACATTACTTTTATTTACACTGCCAGCACGTATAACTTCTAAAGTTAATGTTTTTTAAAGTTCTATGGCTATAAACACAAACATGTCATCAAGTCATACGAATGATGTAAATTAATATGCAGTGTGCGAAATACGGGGGGTTCCGACACCCCCGATTAAGCCATGAGACCCCCTGAAAGCCTGAAAAGCGAAATTTTATGAGGGTCTCAAGATCGGTATTGCGCAACAATAGGGAGGTGGGGATTTTTGACGGGTATTTCACACACTGTTAATATGTCATAGTCGATCTAACCGGTAACTTGTTTTTGTAGACATTTTGTTACTAGTGTTTGTTCAGTTCAGACTTCTTTCTGCACCCTGTAGATCCCTGGGAAGCCCAGCACTGCATGCTAGGTGACAAGTGACAACAGTGACAGCTGGTGCCAAGCACCTGATAGTTTACAATACGGTCCCTTAGTAACTAAGGTAGTATCCAGTACAAATCATGGAGAAACATAGCATATCATTAATTAAGTAAGTAAGAGTTTGCTCATGATTAATTAAGAGTATTGTGATGAACTGGTTACAGACTGACTGACAGTGGGCGTGGTCTCTGGCGCACTGAATGACGCAGGAGTACTTGGTGATGAGGTTACCTGAGGGGTGGGTTAATTCAGGAGGGAGAGGAGAGGGGCATTGGGATGGTACAATTTTCTTACTGCACTGGTAGATAATTTTGCTAGTTTGAGGCCATCTCGTCTCAAAACAGAAAGAGTTTATCTTATACTTGAAAAGCCATTTTTTGCAGTGTTCTCATGACCTCCACCCTTGTTTATTGCATGTGTGTATTATGATTATATGATTAACTGATTACATTTTGTTGTATTGTTACTGACAGTGATTATGCAGTTGTACAGGTGATATTGTATTATGAGTTTAATGGCTTCATATCTCAAAGTATCGCAAACAGGATTCTCATATCTCAGTTCACAACCTTCCCTCACAAACCCCTGCTTCCCTTCTCAGCTACCAGATGTATCCTGTTTACCTTACTATGACCTTTCCCCTGACGCGTGCCAGGTCAGGGTGCTCCACAGCCTGGTCCCTCCAGCACGCTTCCTCTCACGAGTCCAAAAGAACAAACAACATCCCCTGTCCTAAGGCACAGATCGGCAATCCCATAATGCAACAACATCTTCAAAACAACAATCCCATGGTTCACCCAACCCCTTTAAACTTTAATTTTTCTTTCAACAAAAGAAGCAGCTAACAAAAGGGGAGGGAGATTTGGTTGGATACTGCAGGGTAGCTTTCAGCCAATGGAAGTCATGGCAGTGGCAGACAATGTGTCAGTTTCATTCCTTGGCTCTTGTGGCTGAGTTTTTAGTGGCTGATATTGCATCCAAGATTCTATTGGGTATTGATTTTTTTGATCCAAGTATGGGTCAGTAATAAATTTGACTAACACATGTTGCTCTTACCATTGATATCTGCCTGAGACGTGGAGGCACCAAAAAGTGTGGCACGGGTGGTGTGTGCAGTGAGACCAGGGGTGGCGCCTGTATGGGTCATTAATGTAACTGAGGGTCTTACAACTGGACATGAAATTGGGTACCTTCTCCACTGATGTA